AGGAAGAAGAAATCTCTCACTTTTCTCTTTCTCTAACACTCTTAGAGAAGAGTTCACACTTAATCTCACCACAAAACTCTAAATTATAAGAACAATGGACTCTAAATGGTTGTGGAATGAAAAATGGAAGAATGTGTAATGCGTAGAAGGTTGAATTGGGACGATGAGATGTCAGGAAGAGTCACTTTTCTGATCAATTATTGCCCCAAATAAAGCCTAGAGTCGGTTCATCAATAGGTGCTTCCAAAAACTCTTCAAAAAGCATCCAAATTCGTCGAATCTTCTAGAAACATGGGCTGAATCGACATCGGCGCCGTCGACGCCCATTTTGGCCCCGTCGACGTCAGTGTTCCTCAATTTAATTCACTGCTCTCTGTCAAACGACACCGTCGGCGCTGAACAAATTTCCAACTTCTTCATTTTTGCTTAAAATTTCATCTTTTTTGCTTCATTTTTGTTTCAAGTCATAAAATTCGACAACATGTAAGAAAACATAAAAAATAGATTCTATTAAAGTGCAATATCACAAAAATGAGTATAAAATATGGGTCTAAAAATGTTTATATTTCTGGTGTATCAAAATCCCTCAAATTTACATGTTACTTGTCCTCAAGTAGCTCATATACTATATAAAAATATGACTTATGATAAAGAATTTAACTTATAGATTTTCATATCTTAGTCCACTAAATACAATAACATAACTTAAGAAAAATTCAAAACAACTTCAGTTAATATTAAGGTATAAGAATATTTAGCATTCAAGTCCAAGATTTCTGATTCTCTATTCTTTTCATAAAAAAATACAAATTGTCATATTAATGCCACTTAAAGTATTTCTAAAGTATTCATATGAAAAACAACTTCATAAAACTTTACTAGTAAATAAACTATTACTCAAATAAAAGTTTAGAAAATGTAGCAAGCTTTCTTTTTTAAATTGATTCAAGTGAAGACAATTTTTAATTAGGCACCTCCTCAAGCTGCTCCTCACATACTTTCTTTTCTTTTCTTTCTTCTTTTTTTTTTCTTTTCTATGGATTACTATATATGGATAGATATTTAATGGTTTTGAAGATTTTGAAATTCACTATCCTCTTCTTAAAGTCAAAAACTTGTCACATTTCTTCACTTAACAAATTTATATTAGCTTAAAGATTTCATAAAGTTTAATTCTTTTCTTCTTACATGAACCTTTAAGATTTTTAATATTTCAAAAATACAGTTTTTTTTACTTGAAATAGAAAAACATAGTTTTTTTTTTATACCAAATATCTTAATCTCTAAAATTAACCTTTATTATTGAAAATTTTTTACTTAAGTTTACTATATATTTAGAAACATAAATATAGTTATCTAAAGTTAACCTCTAATACCAAAGGTCATGCTAAATTTATTATTTTTTTTAAATATAGCCAAGCGAGGACAAATAAAATTAAATGTCTTTCTTTAAAAAGAAAATTTTCTTTCCCCTCAAACTTAAATTTTTAAAAGATTTAGCATGAAGAACTGAAAAATAAAGGGTGAAAGAAAACATTAAATACATAAAGAAAAGACATACCTGTTGAATGTTCTGATTTTGAAACTTTAATTCTGAAATACTGCAAGTGTAAATATATAAAATTACAAGACTTAAATTGCGCATAATACATATAAAATCTGCTGAGAAAGAGTTGATTACAATACATTTAATAAAATATAAAAACTAACAACAAAATTAAACTGAATTTCTGAAATGAAAATAGTTTTATAAACTTCAGTTCACAACTCAACATAACAACAAAACAAAGTCTCACAATCTAACAAACAGTCTCAATAATATAACAAAAATAAACAGCACAATAACAAAGTACAATCAAACATAAACTAAAAAAATCAAATCACCAATCATCATCATCTTCTTCTTCTACATCCAAATTCTGCCGCTGATATGGAGTAAAAACAGGGTGATTAGGAAACTGAACTGAATAATCACCCTTCATGTATCTCACCAACGCACCATCATAAGCAACATCATATTCAAACTTTTGCCGCATCAAATCATCAGTGTGAGCATTTTGGCATCCATGTTTTGCAACCTATGATCCATTCTTAAAATATCTTTTTGCTGGATCATCGTCTGGTCTAAAAGTTCTCGGTTAGTAGGGTCACTAAAAGTAGGGGTCCTCGAAGTAGAAGGAATATCTTTGGCCTTACTTCCATATTTCCAATCAACATGAGATTCATTTCTTTATATTGGCGACCTAAAAGGTCTTAGAGGCTCAATCCTCTCTTCTAAAAGTCTAAAAACAACTCCTACCTGTTCACAAAGTGTGAAAATAATTGCAGGGTGTGCCAAACCTCTCCCAAAGCAATAGATCTAGTGT